TCTTCATGTTTCCTTGTTGAACTCAACTTGTGTCTCCCACCTGGAGGGAGCCGTTATAAAGGGCCTGGACTGGGTGTGTTGAGCAACTACATACTTGAGAGAGTGACTCTTGACTCCTTTTATGGGTAGCAGAGGAAGTTTACAGCTGATTGTTTACACAATACAAAATTTCCCCAAAACAAGACTCTTTAATTTTGACATGCGTTCCGTACATGGACATGCACCTTGGGAAGACTTTTCATGTGTCATAAAAAGAAATAAATACTGTAAAGAAGTATATAACACTGTAAAGTTTCTGTTAGTGGTGCTAATATATTTTACCAGTATGTTAAAGCATTGCCAAAAAAAATCTATATATGTTTTCATTGAATAATTTGATGATGTCACATAGAAAAAAGTGTTTATTACAAACCATTTTAACAACGTTACCTGTCTTCATAAACCGATTTCAATAAATTAAAGTTCTGAATTAATTAATTAAAATAAAAAAAAAATCTCAATTGTAAAAAATGACTTATAAATGATGCATACGATTGAGGGTTGTGGTAAGGAATACTGAAGCTCACAAACTTATCCTTGTGAGACAGCGTTCTGTACATTATAACTTTTTCAAATCAATCTGGAATAAACAGGAGACACATTTTCAAGAAGTTGCAATATTATTAATTTATCCATCTAATCTCAGAGATTCCTCTCCTCAACCAACACTTACCAAGTCATTATGGGTGGATACCAAAAGACTCCCAGGTCAGAAGGGGGGATACAGTTTCTCCACAGGGTTCTGAGTCTAACCTACAGTCTAATAAAAGAGTGGCACATTGAATAAAAGGAGGAAGCTCCCTGCAGACGGTGAAATGAACTTCACAACTCATAGCTTTTCTTTGTAGAAAGCAGCTCCACTTCAGGTTGTCTCCAAATAGTGGAGCTCCTCACCCTTTCACTGAGCCGGCTCCGCTTCCCCACACAGATCGCTCATTTCAGCTGCTTGTGCGGCATCTCAGCATTTAATTTACCTTCCATAATTCTTGACCAAAGGTAAGTGTCAAACCATCAATAGACTGAAATAATAAGAGCTTTGCTTTACAGCTCAGATCTTTGCATTGTCCAGCTTGTGAACAAGACACCATATCCTTGAACTGCTCTGCTTGAAGAAAAATCAGATCCCATAGTTTTCAGCTTTTTCTGACTGAGAACTATTTGTTCAGACTTGATGTACTGACTCTCTCCTACAAACTGTGAACTGCTCCAGTACACTCCCTTGTCGTGCCCTAAAGACACCAAGAAAAAATCCATGAGTCAACATGAGACCCTGAGTTCCTGACCCACATGCTTTTCACTTAAATACAATTGAGATCAAGCTCATGAACGTAAATAGCACTTTGACAACTCTGGTTCCCCATTTTCCCTTAGGACCAAACAATAAACCGGACCTCCAACCTCTCCTGACCCCGTTAGAGAGTTACCAGACACTTGTCATACATTTAATGGGACACTTACGAAACTCAAAGCCTTTTCTGTACAGTTCGCCATTCGAAAGCCTATTCCTGAATCACAGCTCAGTCAACTCCAACATATGCCGTCAATTTTCGTGCGTCTCCCACACATCATAGTGTCCCACTTTAGGATGGCCTCTTGAAACCTTTGAAACCTGGCTCTTTCCATCAACATTATCTTTCAATGACAAATAAATCAATATGTTTTTCATGTGTAATGAGTTTTATATTAGCCTGAAATAATTTGATTGGTTGTTGAATTTCACTCTTAGGGGATTCAACATGGATGGACTTTACAGGCATTTGACAGATTTTTTTCTTTTAACATATGATAGAAATGCACGAATGCGCCTTCCGGCTTTACTTATTTTCAAACAACAATTGCATTTCATTGGGCCTTCCAAATGAATATTTTGTTATCATGTTGATACTATTATGTTCAGATCATAAATCTGCAGACATGATTAATTGTACTGCAACTTTGAATGGTGATGAACGCTAAGGTGACATCTGTTGATTCACAGGAAATCTAAACTCTGACAGTTAGGGAGTTTTGTGAGTCAGCATGTAGATTTACTGTCCACCCCCGCAGACTTTTATTAATCTTAGCCCAGCATGTTCTACATTGTGAATGGAAATCTACGTTCTGTCAACACTTGCACACCACAGGACGCTGCGAGGAACGATAATGACTGATAAGCAATGTGCCGTCTACGAAGATTTGCTCAACAGCAGTGATTGCAGATACATTAAAAATGTGCTACAGTACTAAAAACACATATGATTGCATTAATCATAAACATAATTAAGGTTTTCTACATTACAGGCACTCTTCACATCACCATTTTGGAAAGAATCTAAATGTAGATATAATTTATTTTCGTTACATGTCTAATACAAATATTGTTCTTACTCATTTTACTCATCAGTTTTTGCAAATCTTAAAAAGTAAAATACATAAAGTACAAAAAATTAACCAAAACAAACAAAAAAACATTTTTAATTTGCAAATAGCTTCAATAGATGGTATCAATTCTCTTTCTTTCAACACTATTGCACACCGAGATGTTACTTTTAATCGCTTGTGGTATTTATTAGTTCTCCAAAGAAATGTTGCTAACATTGTGGTTATTGCTAGAAAGATCCCTTTTCTGGTGAATATACACACTCTGCCATGTCATCATCAGGCGATTTCATCACCAGAGTACGTGATTTCATCACGAGAGTACATGATGCGAGTATCTATCCCATTTGAAAATCAAGAATCCAAAACGAGGTGGTGGTCAGAGGGCCGAGTGGCGCCGGTGCATGGGAGCCTCACCTCAGTCAGTCTGCTATACATATTCATAAACTGCCACTATCAGCAAGTGAGTGTGAATGAGTGAATGACTGAAATGTGAAAAGTGCCAGTCACTTTGGGGCCATCTGGGCTTTTAAGTGCTGTGCAAGAACAGAACATTTACCAAACTCAGTTGTGGGCACAAGTCAGAGGGTCAACTTTTATCATTTAAGATGTTTTTATTTCAAGAAAATCATTTCAAATTATAACACTGACATGTGTGACAACACACAAAAAGTTTTTTTTTCCCCCCGATGACATCATTCCCTTTAGATAGTATACTCATACAGAAATACAGAATTATTCATACACTCGAAAAGGAATCCACATTCATGCAGCGAAAGTGACATTTGATTTATTTATTAGAAGCAAACAACAGAAAATTGTTAAACAATTGAACAGTCTAAATAATCAAAGTAAACTGAAATAAATATAAAGATAGTGCAATTTAAAAAAAACATTTTGGCATATAAATATATCAGGTCAATATAAAAAGAAAGACTGTATAGAAGAAGGTTCTATACAGAACCTGTATAGAACCTAACTGTTATTAGTAACTGTTACTTCTGACTGCCACTTTGATTTTGATTTTTTTAATGACAGTAGGACTCTAAAGTTTCAAGTGTTTAGGGGGTAGGAGTTTATAAGTTCTCACTTCTTCCTACCCCATTTTGAGCATGATATGTTAACTGAAACAAAAAATCTGTATTTTCTCTTCTTTTTTATGCACTTCTTGTTACTGTGCACTATTTTATTTTTATATTTGTATCATGTTCGAATAAAATTTCATTTCATTTCATTTCAAACCTTCATGCCATTGTTTTGTGCCATTGGCACAAAACAATGGCATGTAAAGGTTTTACTGTTATAAATTATGGATGGAATCCTGTAATTAATTGAACCTTCATTGGTTTTCTTCAAAGCTGATCTAGTAGTTGGTGCAGGGCAGGAAGTAGTTGTTTCTCAGCAGACGCAGCATCCGCCCCGTACTTGAGCTGAACTCGTACATGTAGGGTCCACTGTAGAGGTAGGTGAAACCTGCAGAGCAGAGATGATATGTGTTAGTGTGGAAAAATGAACAGGACTGAACAGAATCACTGCAGTCATTTCGTCATGTCATTAATCGTGTGCTTTTGGAAGCGACTCACCTCTGTACTGTAAAGCTGCTGTCACCTTCCTGGTCATTCCAGAGAAGGTTTCATCAACTCGCTTTGGGAATCCTGAGTCCATCGTCTTTGTAGTCTCATCATAGCTGAAAAGGACAAGATAAAATATGGTCATTATTTCTTATCAAATAGCATGAAAGCTCGTTGCTTGGAAAAGGAGAACAGACTCCCAACTTTCTTGGACTTTACTAGAAATTCAACATTTTACAAATGATTTCTGGTCTTGCTTGAACACACCTGTAGTAATTGCTGCCAACGAAGAACAGAGTCTTGCCAGTCTCTGGGTCATTGAGGGCCGCATCAACTTTCTTGATGTTCTTGGGCAAACCAAAGCTGGAAATCGATTTGGGATAATCCCGTACCAGATCATAGCCACTGAAAGCCCAAACTTGACGACCTGTCAAAAAAAAATTATTTTGGTGTCTGGTGTATGGGTAACATACAAAAATGCAATCGATTAACAAAGATATCAAATACCTTTAAAGTAAAAGACTCTGTCTGACTGGTAACTCTCATAAGCAGCATCAACACTGTCAGGGCCGTCGGGCCAGAAGTTTGTTATGAGAGTTTGCTGAAGGGTGTAACTCTGCGGGTAGCTACGCCAGAAGAACCTGAGAAGAGACAGAGAGAAGCTAAAGCTACATCTTGGAGCAGTTATTTTAAAATATAAATTGTTCACTCCAGCTGGCATTATTGGAGACTTAGGTTTCTACGCTACCGGTTCTTGAAGAAGAACATCTCTCCTCGTAGCGTGGCAACAGCATCCAAGACCAGGGAGGAATCACAGACATCAGGAGTGGGGGGAGCAGTTGGTCCAGGAGGCACTGGATCCTCGTTTTTACCTGGGTATTAAAATTGAATCCCAGGAATTAATAACAGAAAAGTTCAGAAAAGTTTTTTTACTCTGTTGCTAGTTTGTTTAAAAAAACAAACAAAATTAATTTTTTGGGGGGCACAAACCATAAAGTGACTGGATGCCTCTGACATCATCTTGTGGCAGAACAAACGTGTCTGGGTCTTGGTACGAGTACACAGGGGCCATGAGAGCACCAGGGTCGTTGGAGTGGGACAAACCCAGAGAGTGGCCGAACTCATGGGCTGCAACCAGGAAGAGGACGTAGCCTAGGAAACGGAGGATGAGTTACACCTCTTGTTGGACTAATCAGGTCATAGGAAGAGCTGAAAGAGTATAAGGTATAAAGAACAAACTTACCTGTGTTAGAGCGGAAAGTGAAGGTCTCATCTTCGTCAAAGTGTACATCTCCTCCGATGCCAGGAGAAGGAGGAAAGGCGTGAGCGATATATCCGCCAGTACCGTGAAAAGGGCTGTTGTCACCATGTGCTTTTAGAAGAAAATAACTTTAAATTTGAACAAAGAGAACTTTTTCTAGAACGTCCAATAAAATNATCTGAAAGTTGCAGGATGGTAGCTCTCGAGGACTGGACTTGGCCACCCCTGTCTTACAGGTTCAGTATCAGGGCAGATAATATCACTGACCGCCAGAGGTCACTATTGCTTTTCACATCACAAATGCGTCTCTATTACCGCTCAGGTTATAAGCAAAGACATGTAAGTCCCAAACTCAAGACATGCAACTCTCAAGTCGCCTAATAATAATAATAACATAAACAAGAAAATCATTAAATTTTAATGAAAGAAATACTGGAAATTTGACCCTTTAATTTTATTATTGTGAAGTTTGCAGATTGCAGTGCTAACCATTAGATTTAATTGGCAATTTATCATTTCAGGTTATAAATAATGTCTAATTAAAAACTTGAAATTCCATACATACGTATTAAAATGATTCTTCAGGTCCCATGACTCAATTAGCTTTCAATAAACACCTTAGTTTTTAAGATAACAATAGCCACACTTAAGTTGTTATATTAACTAGTATTAATCAGGATCTTTAAAAAATGGAGCATATTATTGAATTAACCAGCAAGGCTATTGGAGTTGAGCAGGTATCTGAAGCCAAGCTGCATATTGAGCTGATTTTTTTTTAAAAGAAGGATGAAATTCTTGTGGCTCCATCACATCCTCTGTTACTGAAGTTTGTCACTAACAAAAGCAGTAGGTCTACAAAAAAAAATCTGGAAAATTTAGTCTTTTAATTCACCCCACTGCACATTTATACAACATTTCTAAAGGTTTTTTTTTTCTTTTTTTTTTTTCTGTTGTCTATGATTTTAGTTAAAGTTATCTGATTTATTATCATGGTTGATAGTCCATACTTATATTGCCGTTTGATCACTTTGTAATGGAGTAAGAAAATTAATTAATCTTCATCACTTGTGTTAGTTCTGCGGTTTATGGGAGGTTACTACAAACTGTCTGAAAATTAAAAAGACTAACGTTGACCAATTTAAGAAATGTAAAATAAACACTTTGTCATAAAGATTAGACCAGGGTCGTATTAGGACTCATCTTCAGCCTTCAATTTTTATGCCACCCACACAAGATGCCGCCCTGGGAGTTTGCCCATTTCGGCCATATTAGAAACCACCACTGAACCCGTGCTATGACTGCACACCGATTCAAATAATAAAAAAAAATATAACAAGCCCTTGTGGCCCAAATATTAGACCGGTCAGTGGGATTTCCTCAGAACCTCCTGATTAACAAATCCAGATCTGTATTGGTCCCTGTGAATACAAATTCATTTATTTAATAAGTAAACTGTAGCATAAATTTTGCATGTGAAATTTAGAACGCAACAAACAACATCCCATCCTAACCAACCCAATTAAAATAAAAAATAAAAAAAAAGAATAAAAGACTCTGTTTCAGAGCATTTTGAGTTGACCTTATCATCCAATTTATTGCCACACATTTGTGGCAGCTCTGGCATTCTGTACCAATGTTAAAACAACAGTTGACAGCTCTCGCATCAATGTCTACGCAACTGCAAAAGGATCAGCCTTAAGACATTTGGTTAAATCTGTGTTTAAAATGTTACTAAAAGTGTCTTGATAATATTGCATAGACAGGGACGCCGTGAAGTAGGAAAAGTTAGGACAATTCCAAGGGCCCCTGACCGACAGGGGGCCCTCCATAAAACAGTTATTTATTTATTTATTTTTTTTTTCTTCATAGAAATAGAAAAAAAATTGGGGCCCTGTCAATTACAAAATTAATTATATCGTGATTTTAAAATTGTTTTTATCAGCATAAATTAAATGTTACACCTTCCAAAAAGCACACATCTATATTTGCCCTGAACACCCCTCTGGATCTGCATGAAATGGTTCGTTCCTGCTTGGCGCGCTTGACTGTGACGTTCAGCCAGCAGTTAGAACAAGACTGGGTGAGATTATCAACCATTTAGCACAGTTAGCTTAGCTACAGACTACTGTTTGCCTCCATTTTACTAGAAATGGAGGCAATTTCCATTTTACTAGAAATGGAGGCAAACAGTAGTCTGTAGCTAAGCTAACAGACTACTGCTCTCTAGAAACAATCAGTCAGAGGCAGGAGGTGAGTTTTAGAGATGTCAATCACAATCTTTAGTCATCAGTGGTAGGTCCCGGAGGAGGTGGAGGAGATTAATTTTTTCACAGATTATCTGTGTCATAACAAACTGTCATGACAAGAAAGCAAGGCAGTTGCATGCATTTAAGATTGTGCCGCTTTTTATGGGTCAAATACTCTAGAAACTGTAACAACTGGTGGGCCCAATTAAATTTTTTGTCATGGGGCCCAAGTTTCCTCACTGCGCTCCAACAACACAAAGCTTATGCTTTGTTTGGTTGTACAGATTTTTCTTTGTTTATTTTTATTCCTTCAGTTTACGCTCGCCTTCCTCTGCTGGGTGAAAAGGCTTCACCACCACTGGCTTGTTCTTGTGTTTTCATAGGAAGCAAAATGAAAGCAGTTTGAACAGGGAGTTCAAAGTTCAAGTTGCAGCGACAGGAGGAGGGAGGAAATGCTGATAATAGGCCAGAGGTATTCAGCAAGTTGGCTTACGCTACAGGTACAGTTCAGTTGTAATGTTTGGTATTGGATATAAAGTATTTTCAAAGTAAACAACTCAAATCCTGAGAAAGTCAAAAGTCATTGGTGTAAAAATGCAAGTCAAGTCTTGTGATTTCATCAAGTCAAGTCTAAAGTTATTAAACTTGTGACTCAAACTTGTAATTTGATTCCAAGTTTCATGAGTCAAGTTAACGCCTCGGCAAACGAATAAAATGCAAAATCAGTTGATCAGGCTCTCGTTTCTGTTTTAAAAACGTCATCTGTGCAAAGTGTTATTTATGTTTGTTATGGTGGAAAAGTCAAATATTTTATATATTATGTTTACAGCCACATCAAGGATCAATATTTCAGACTAAATTTAAAAGAACTTTTATCCAAGTTTGAATATTTCTGTTGAACTGATCAAATGAAACTGTTTCATCTTATAGAAACTCATTAAACAATCAGAATCACATATTTGATCATAACACATTTATTTCATTTAAACGACCTGCTGAATGACAACATGTAACAACGTACAACTTCAATTTGGGTATAACATGTCAGTTATAGTTGATGCATGGTCATGTATTTTTCATGAAGAAATTGGTTGGTTTCAAATGATAACTGAGTTTACCAAAATACACAAAACAGCATTTTTTTATTGTGTAATTCTATTTGTAATATTACTTTGTTGAGGCAGTCACATTTGTACAATGAATGTAATAAATTAATTTGTAAAAAGTAAATAACACACAAAATTGGACTGTCCAAATAATATAAATAAATTACAATAAAAAATAACTTAGAATAACTTAAAAAAAATATTTTGGCATAAAACTATAATACATTAACATAATACATTAACATTATACATGAACATTAATAGAATAAAAAAAACATTCACTTTATAGAAGGGTTCATTATTTATCTGAAACTATAGGACAACACAATAGTATAATAAATAGGTTCTATCATGAATTATGGATTTAATCCTGTAATTAATTGAACCTTCATTGGTTTTCTTCAAAAGCTGATCTAGTAGTTGGTGCAGGGCAGGAAGTAGCTGTTTCTCAGCAGACGCAGCATCCGCCCCGTCCTCAAGCTGAACTCGTACATGTAGGGTCCACTGTAGAGGTAGGTGAAACCTGCAGAGCAGAGATGATATGTGTTAGTGTGGAAAAATGAACAGGACTGAACAGAATCACTGCAGTCATTTCGTCATGTCATTAATCGTGTGCTTTTGGAAGCGACTCACCTCTGTACTGTAAAGCTGCTGTCACCTTCCTGGTCATTCCAGAGAAGGTTTCATCAACTCGCTTTGGGAATCCTGAGTCCATCGTCTTTGTAGTCTCATCATAGCTGAAAAGGACAAGATAAAATATGGTCATTATTTCTGATCAAATAGCATGAAAGATCGTTGCTTGGAAAAGGAGAACAGACTCCCAACTTTCTTGGACTTTACTAGAAATTCAACATTTTACAAATGATTTCTGGTCTTGCTTGAACACACCTGTAGTAATTGCTGCCAACGAAGAACAGAGTCTTGCCAGTCTCTGGGTCATTGAGGGCCGCATCAACTTTCTTGATGTTCTTGGGCAAACCAAAGCTGGAAATCGATTTGGGATAATCCCGTACCAGATCATAGCCACTGAAAGCCCAAACTTGACGACCTGACAAGAAAAAGTTTGAAGTAGTTATTTGGGTAAAGGCTTTTGGGTTGCGTATAAAAATACCATCAGTCAACAAAGACAGAAATAAAATACCTTTAAAGAGAAAGACTCTGTCTGACTGCTGACTCTCGTAAGCAGCATCAATACTGTCAGGGGCGTTGGGCCAGAAGTTTCTGATGAGAGTTTGCTGAGGGGTGTGACTCTGGGGGTAAATACGCCAGAAGAATCTGGAAAGAAACACATGGACAAACATTAGGCACATCTTGGAGCAGATTTTTTGCAAAGTAAATCATTGACTCCAGCTTCAAATTAAAGGAAACTTAAGCTTCTACCATACCTGTTCTTGAAGAACAACATCTCTCCTCGTAGCGTGGCAACAGCATCCAAGACCAGGGAGGAATCACAGACATCAGGAGTGGGGGGAGCAGTTGGTCCAGGAGGAGTTGGATCCTCATTTTTGCCTGGAGAATAGATGGTATATTACATTAAATCTCAGGAATCAATAATGGATAGGTTCTGAAAGAAGTTTAGTCTAATGCTAGTTTGTTCAAACATGGATTTTATGATACTGACCATAAAGTGACTGGATGCCTCTGACATCATCTTGTGGCAGAACAAACGTGTCTGGGTCTTGGTACGAGTACACAGGGGCCATGAGAGCACCAGGGTCGTTGGAGTGGGACAAACCCAGAGAGTGGCCGAACTCATGGGCTGCAACCAGGAAGAGGACGTAGCCTAGGAAACGGAGGATGAGTTACACCTCTTGTTGGACTAATCAGGTCATAGGAAGAGCTGAAAGAGTATAAGGTATAAAGAACAAACTTACCTGTGTTAGAGCGGAAAGTGAAGGTCTCATCTTCGTCAAAGTGGGCATCTCCTCCGATGCCAGGAGAAGGAGCGAAAGCATGGGCAAGAGTACCGTCAGGTCCATCAAATGGGTAAGAATCACCATGTGCTGTTAGAAAAAGCATCTTCCATTAAGATTGAAACAATCAAAGAAAAAACTCTTTCTAGAACGTCAAATAAAATAAGCACGAAAAGAGTTTGATACTCACCACCACGACCAAAGGAGATCATGATGTCTGCTATGCCACTGTAGATCCTTGTGAATCTGAGGGGAGGAACTCTGGACCAAACCTGAAGAGCTTTCTCAATGGATTCATCTACCTCTGCTGCAGGCATGTCTGGTGTGTAGTTCTCTATCCTGAAGACATAAAAAATGTTCCACATTAAAGCACATGCAACATCTGTGATAGAACACATCACTGAAAAGGTGATCTTCTGAGATCTCCCACCTGTATGTGAGGTCATTCTTGTCCCATTTCAGATTGTTTCCAAAAGTGGAGAACCGAGCAACGTCTACGTCTGGGACGCCACAGCATGGCTTCTTCATCATGGCCAAGGTGTCGGCATCCAGGTTCCCTGTGATCTGAAGGCCAAAGAATTTTTGCATCTCCATCAGTTTCTTAGACACTGAGCTGATGCCACTTCTGAACGATGGACCTCTTTCTTCTGTCAGGTTGAAAAATCTCTTCAGGTAGTCCTGGTGGAGAGAAAGAACAGAGAGGCTTCATCTGCTGCTCTCCATGTGCTAGTCAACACATAACTTGTTAAAATAAAAGAGCATTTTAGTTTCTTACTACCCAGTACGTTCAATACAGGTCAAGTGCACATACCTCTGCAAACTGCTCCTCCTGCTGTGTAGGCTGCGACACCGGCATGCAGAACACTGCAGCCGAAAGGCTCAGGAGAAAACTCAGCGTGAATGTCTTCATGTTTCCTTGTTGAACTCAACTTGTGTCTCCCACCTGGAGGGAGCCGTTATAAAGGGCCTGGACTGGGTGTGTTGAGCAACTACATACTTGAGAGAGTGACTCTTGACTCCTTTTATGGGTAGCAGAGGAAGTTTACAACTGATTGTTCACACAATACAAAATTTCCCCAAAACAAGACACTTTAATTATGACATGTGCTCCGTATTGTTGCCACATGCACCTTGGGACTGTAATTATGACACGTCTTCTATGTTGTTGCCACATGTAGTATAAGAGTATTTTTCCTGTAAAGAAACAAGCATTGCAAACTCATAAGCAAGATTGTAATTGTTTTTCAGTGGTTGAAGCGTGATACAAATAGATCTGTTGATATCAGAAATGAAGGATACAGTACATCACTCAAAAAGTGTCAAAGACTTTAGCTCTTCCTGAAAAAGGATACATGAATTTTTTCTAATAACAAAAATTAGAAAGAAATTTTGTTATTAGTGTATTAGATATCATAAAGTTGGGTTTATTGACCTTCACAAGTTCTTATTGCTCAGACAACATTGCATGCATTGAATTATTTTATAGATACTTGTTTAAGAGAGAAGAAGACAATGTTCAACAAGTTCCTTATTATTTATTTATTGTGCTTTTTCTGCTTAACTTTTCTTGGGTGTGGGAGGGAGCAAGCTCAGGATTGAAATCGCTTCAGCTTTTTCTGTGAGATCCAAAAGCATTCACAAGCCAGAATGAGGATATATAATCCATACTCTGGGCTTCCTGCAGTAGTAAGATACCAGGAGTCTTGAACTAGTTTGTGGCAGAAACTGGCCCCCTACCAAGAGGTGGCAGTACACATTCATTCATAACTTTGGATGCAGAAAGTCAGAAGCTAAAGAAGCCGGTCATACCACATTATCCACATAAAGCAAATATGAGAGCCAAAGATTCTCGTAGTTAGTGGAAGATTTTATTAGTTACATCCAGCAGCTGCCAACAACAACACTCCTCCTCAATCTAAAAATCACAACCAATCTTGTGAATACTCCCTTTATCAGGACATTTATAACATTGACATCATCAATGTTTCTCCTGACAGTTCATCTTAAAAAACCCTATGATTTTAAGCTAAACTTAAAAACATGTTTTTTTTCATGAAAAACATGTAGTTTTTCCTCAACAAACTACATGTTTTTCATATTTAAAAAAATGAAAGACATGCACTCAGAATAGTGACGGTATTTCCAGATAGAAAACAGGTATGATACACATGACGTTTCCTCATGCTGACTTGTCATTCAACACAGCGCAAAAAAACAGAACATATTTTTACAAAGAAAAATGACAAAATTAGTAACGCACAGTCACTTAGATGAGTAACTCTAAACTGATTACTGGTTTGATAATAATTGCGTTGGATAAGTTCCTTATTATTATTATTTCAAATGCAAAGTCGGCATTAAAAGTTCAAGCTGGGGATAGTCAGGAGTTCCCATCATCTAAGAAACAGCCTTTGTTTTGAGGATCCAAGGAATGGATAACAATAAGGTCTTTAACCAACAACTTTTGAATGCCAACCATGTGCAACAGCACAACATAATCAAATACTGTCTTGTTTTACTTCCACTTTTGTTTCCT